CTGTCCCCCTCCCCCAATTCCCCAATAAAAAAAATCTTAAAAAAACAACAACCAAAAAAACCCCGATTATCAAAAGTAGTCAATCTGTAAAGGCTACATAATGTATGATTCCAACTACATATCATTCTGAAAAAGGAAAAACTTAACGCTATAGATATAGAGACAGTAAAAAGATCAGTGGTTGCCAGGGGATTGTGGGGAGAGAGGGAGGGAAGGAAAGGTGGAGCACAGAATTTTTTGGGCAGTGAAACTATTCTGTATAATATTGTGATGGTAGATACATTTCATTATGCATTTGTCAAAACCCAGAGAGACCGAAGCTGAATATAAACTAGGGACTGATAACATCCAGCCAATTAAGTGATAAGTCTTAATACAGTACCCAGGAAAAAGAAGCTGCAATAGAAGAAATGGTGGTGAACACTAAATCTGTTTAAAGATAAAACTAAGACTAAACTTGTGAGAACTAGGATTTCACAAGAGAATGTAAATGTTATAAACCATGACAATGGAAACATAATATAAAAATACTGGAAGGTGGTGAGGAACGAGGAGGGAGAAACTATGGCATATCAGTCTATGCTGCTTAGATATGGGAGACAGTCAATAATACCATCGAGAATTGAAATGTTTACTTTATCTACAGTATCTATAAAATATTTTCCTTTTTTACATACAGCTGCAAAATATTGTCTTTCAATTAAAAAGAGAGAAAAACAAATTGTACCCAAGACTAAAAATTTAACGCTCAACTTCTTGGAAAATTAAAAGAACAAAAATATCTCCACTAGACAAATGGATTAAAAGAGAATTATTTGTCTCAAAAACTTACAAAGGAGCACCAACATCCTAAGAAAAGAAAATGCAAATAAAAGGTCCAAAGAGAAATAAAGAAATTAGAGAAAAAAAGAGAGTAGCGTCAGAATATAAACAGATAGAGAAATCTCCGGCAAATCTAATGGAGAAAAGGAGGAAAGAAAACAAAATTAGAAAGGAAACAGGTTAAAAAAAAAAAGGCCATATAAGGGAGATTATCTAAAATTATAAAACAAGGACACTGAAAACCCTGATATGATTAAAAAACACTCAGCATGTACAAAACCTAAAGAGATTTAATTAAAAAAAACAAAACACAACTTAAAAAAAAATATTTTCCTTATCTCCTACACTAGAAATATACACACATTTCTAGTTGACTAAGAAAAGAATGGTTGCCATAAATATGGCTAACAGTGTTTTCAGTAACAGAAATGCAGATGGCTAATAAATTTGAGAAAATGTTCATCTAATAATAGAACTATTATGAAAACCATAAGAAACTATTCTTCACCTTTCAAATTAGCAAAGATTAATAAAAGATTATATTTTACATGGCTAAGGAACAGTAAGAAAAGGAATCACATACTGGTACAATGAAACAGGAATGCTTGTTCTCTTCTACCCTACTGAAATGCCAACAGCAACAGTTAAGGAATATGAGTGAACCCCAAGTCCAAGGTACTGAAGCACACCAGTCCACCGTGGAAGGACAGTATGCCTTTTTTGAAATGATCCATATCATAGTAGTGAAGAGTGTGGATTGCACTTATCAGGCAAATATTCCATGTGTAATATTTTAGGACGATTTGGTTGCTAGAATTTGTCTAAAACCCAATGTTTCCTCAAAAATTTTCCAATGTCAACTGTTTAAAACTGATATATATTAATAAAATTAAAGAAAAAAAAATAGCTAACATTCACAAACTACTTTACTAGGTGACAGACACTGTTCTAATTGCTTTTACATGTATTTTCAATCCTCCCAACACTATGAGGTAGACCTCATAAGACAAAAAGACAGACACAGAGAGGGGAAATAACTTCTCAAGGTTTATAGCTAGTCTACAGTAAAGAGCCTGGGATTCAAACCCGAACAGTCTGCATTCAACAATTCCACTAAATTATTTCTATGAACTGCAGCCTCCAAATCTTCTCCAGGCTCAATTTCCACTACGTCACATAGTTATTTCATTAGATTTAGTTTAAATAGATAAATAAATCTGGAAGACTTAAAATCATTTACCTGCATCCAATATTCCCTGGGCCAGAATAGCGCCAAACTTTGCCATGACATCATCGTGTTTATCATTGATGACTTTGGAATACAGCTGTCTGAACTGATTCACCTGAAGGAACAAGAAAAAGAATTATAGTCTGATTCTATTTATTTGCTGTGTCAATTGAGCAGGAAATAGGTTGCTCAATTGGTAATGAAACTTGAGTTCTGAATTTTACAACATTCAAACAGAGAGGGATATGGACCAGAGTTGAAGGCTACCCAGCTCCATGGTTGAAATCATGGAGTTAGGACTTCTCTGGAGTGGGAGCACCAGTTCTGTTTTCAATCCTCATGCCACAGCGGATGATTCAGACTCAAGGGAATGTTGAATTCGATTTCATATGGCACCACTGTTAGTCAGCAGGCTTAAACAGTTCAAGGGAACAGTGAGGCTTTCATCGCACTGTGAATTACTGCTATTCTGCTTACCATCAACCTTACAGATTTCTTAACAAGCACCGTCCTTCGGGTCTACCTTAAAGTAAACTACCCTTCACTGAAATTGTGTGAAGTACATTTTGGATTAAGTGTATTCACACACACAGTAAAGATTTTCATTATGCATACACATCAATTTTTTGAGGACATGTCACAATAATCACTCTTATCAAAAGGAACACGCTGGCTCGCTTAGGATGGGCTTACTGGTAATTTTTGTTTGCCTCTTTATTATTTTCTAAAATTAATATGTATTACTTTTACAATTAGAAAATATTTATGAAACATGTTATTAATATATTTGTGGTTCCTTTAAAAGTATATGGATGACAATAAGGGAACTATTTTATGTTTCTTCCACATCTTACACTTCTCTCCTCCCACCAGTGCTTTTCAAATGGTAGGCACCCAGGAAGAAGTCTGCTTGTCCAAGAAGCACATGATCATGGAGCTCCCAAATCTGCCCAAAGCAGAAAATACTGAATTTGAGTTTTCTAACATGATGACTTTATATGCATTAGATATTCTTTCAGAATCTCTTCCCTTTTCATTCATCTTGGTCTGCTAGGCCACACTGTGATGTAGTACAGAGTAATACAGAATCAGACAACCCTGGCTTGTAAATACTTCTGCTCTAACAGCTGTTTGGGTAAGTTACTTAGCTTTTCTGGGTCTGTTTCTTCATCTCTACAGAGATCATAGCACCTACCTTATATGGCTGTTTGTAAGGATTATATAATATTCATGTAATATAATATGTAAAAGGCAGTTTATAGTTCAGTAAGTATGGCTATCTTACCAGTCCTATTATCTTTGCAATCTAAATATTGCTAATAAAATTAAATTCCTTAAAATGTTGTTCTCGTTTTTATTCACAGACAGCAACAGAATGTGATGAAAAAACAATGAACTAACTCTGCCACCACCCTGCATATAAGCATTGGTAAGCTACTTACTTCTCTAAGTCTTACTTTTTCTAACTATAAAACTCAGCATGATTAGATCATCACAAAATTTCTGTCAAGTTTTAAAAATCCTAAGGTTTGATGCTTTTATTCTGGTTCAATAGGTCAATTTCTTTTGATTCTGAACTTATTTTATTTTTTTTGTGAAACAGACATTTTAAAAATTAGTTTCAGCTGTACAACACAATGCAATATGCTTTTTACCCCTCAAAGTGACAACCCCCCTCTCCCAATCCGCCACCCCACTCACCCCAGCATATCATATCTATTACAATTCCCTTGACTCCACCCCCACATTATACTCCATGTCCCGTGACTATATTCAGTTATAATTGACATACAATCTTATACAACATCAGCTTCAGGTGTACAATGCAGTGATCAAGCCTCTACCCCATCCATGAAGTGGTCTCCATAACAAGACATGTGACCATCTGACACCCTACAACATATTTACAACATTATTATATTCCTCAAACTGTCTTTCATATTCCTGTGGCAATATTGTAGTTACCTATTTATGCCGTCTAATCCCTTCCCCTTCTCCCTCATCC